GATTCAGCATAGCCTCCCGGCGGTTATGTTTGACCCAAAAATGTGAGTCTGTAGCACTACCGAACTCTGTTTCAGCAAAGAACTTCCATAACAGGCCAGGGCCACTCGCCCTCAGGCCTGTCGTGCTTAGCCATCCCAGGAGCACGCTGAAGTACGTACCACCGTAGCACCTGGTATGCATCGTCGAGCCACAGTTCCCTCCATACTAGCAGCTCGAACTTTGTCATCCACTCCAGCATAGGCATCCACTCGGGCCTGTAGAGAAACGTTCCAAGTTGTTAATAGGTGTTAACAAGCTCCAGGGTGGTCTCTGTTCGTGCGGTTGTTCGGTAAACGAACCATATAGTTCCAATTGCACGAACAGAGCCTCTTTGAAGTATATTAATAAGTTTTATTGCAGGGGCCATAGTCACAGCCCCCTTTCGTCAAACCCCCATCTCCCCTCTATTCATACTACTCCCCCCTGTCTCCCCAGTATTCACACTACTCTCTCAGTCTCCCCACTATTTACACCCTGTAATGGCACCCTGGCATAAAAGGTGCTAAAAGCCGTTTAGGAGATATTCCCTCCCAGATATACAGGCAGCTACTGTAGACACCAACCCACCAAACCGGAGAAGCATATGAATGCCATAAACAGCTGAACCGGAACCATACGAATGCTGTAAACAGACGAATAGGAAAAACCATATGAATAGGTTTACACTCCTAGCAGTCAAACTGGAACAGCATACAAGAAATCCCCCCAAGAACGAGACAAGGCTCCGTTTTGAGGGTCAAACAGGAACAGACAGAGCTGTGGGTTTATTGTTCTTATATACACATACTTAGATATTAGCACCACCCACAGGGTTTTATAAAACAACCAATAAACACGTACAATACACTCAAACACTCCCACACAAAATCCTCCCCTCTGCCTGTAATACAATTACCTTACACAATGGGAAATGTAATTATCACAAGCAGAGAAATACAGTTTTTCCACATTATTCATAATTTTAAAAGTATGTTTCACATTCACACTTACATTTCTGGAATCAGCATACACCAAATATAAACATATGTCAAAATCATACAAATTGGTGCAATGGTTCAAAAGATAGATTGTAGTCCTTTGTGACCAAATGAAGCATGGCTTTTCCTGCCCAAAACCAGTTCCACAGAGTCTTCTATCCTGGAGATAATTGGGAAGTAATCCAATTATCTCCAAGGACAGAGGCAAAACTCCAGTGAACACATGGCAGCAAAAGACAATAAAATACATAAAATATATAACTGTGCAGCCAATTGCATAAAACAGGTACATTCAACATATCCCCAGATAGCTCAGATCTGAGCGCACATTATTACTGAATGGCGCTCAGATCACACACATACAGTTCAATTGCCATGGAGCCAAAGTCTTTCATTATATGAATGGGCTCCATGGCATAGCTATCTGGGGTATCACCTCTCAAACAGGGCAAGCACAGAATG